GGCCACTCTCCTGATCGCTCGAGCCCAATGATTAAGGTGCCAAACTAACTGCCCTAACCGCTCGCTCCATCTCCGGCACGGCTTCACAAGTCACCACCAACCGCCCAACTGTGGTCACGATTCTGACCGCTCGAGCCCGTCCAGCAGCTAAAGTGAAGCATAGCAAGTCACCGTCGAACACCAGACTGTGGCTTTGCATCTGATCGCACCTCTCTAACTCTCACTGAGTGAATCTTACCGCTGGGGTCCCTGTCTCTTGAAGGGTTGGTGTGTGAGTTCTCTCTATTACATTCTGGAGTCCTCACAAACCAAGTCCTCAATCAAGGGTTTCCAAAGTTCACAAGGAGGAGGAGAAATTCCTCGTTCTTTTTCCTTTCAAGGTCGCCCAGCAATAGCCGATTGTCATGTCGCTACAACGAATTATCAAACAGCACCGGTAACTTCACATACAATCCTTTATTCAATTTTAAAATTTAGGCTCAGTTGGGGGTTTGGTGATTTTTCACCGATACCTCATCATTTAACTTGGAATTGAGCTGCTGAAATTTCGAAATGAACTATTTTTAGATGTTAAGGAACTTATTTGGGAGTTTTTTATTGCGGGGGAGGGGGGATTTGTCATTTCAGAGAAAATATAATGGAATAGTTAACAGGTTTCCTGAATTATGATTTCTGAGTATGTATACTTCGTAGTTATTGACTTTGGATTGACTATCTTTTTCATGACCTCAACATTATATCGGTGTATTCTATTGTATTAAAGAATAAAGATGAATGAATCCGAGCCAGGGTTGCATTAGGAAAATTGGCTCAATGTGGGCCATGTGTATAAGAGAGGTAATTGATAATTGCATAGCATTTGTTCTTCTTGTTGTTCTTACATTCAAGATAATTGATAATGGATGCTATTTAACAACACTTCTTTCTGAAAGTCTTGACTTGCAACTGACTTTTCTAGTTTGAAATGACAAATGCTAGAATTGGAAAGAAACCAACTAATTTCTAGATATAAAGAAACATTAGTGTTTTATTTGGATGGATAGGATGAAATGAAAAAATAGGAAGGGAAGTAATGAAAGAAAGATAAAATTTGTCATTAGATGAGAGTGAAGTAAGGGAAGAGTCACAAACGGAGTTCAAACTTAATGAGAAAAAAAAGATGAGCTAAATGATATGTACGGTGTTCCTTGAGGAAGGGAATTGTAACATTCTCCTCATTTTCCCTTCCATCAATTTTTCTTATCTTTTTTTCTTCAGGGTTGAGGGAGGGTTATATGGAGAAATCATGATTTGTTTTTCCCAAAGAATTGCATTTTAACTGGGTACCCATTCATAATGGGCAAGTTGGTGTTGGCTAAAAATTATTTCTCCTTTCACCTTTTTATATGCCCCAGATGACTTTGTACGAAGTTGAACCAAGTGGAGTTGTGCTCTTGATATTTAAAAAGGGAAGAATCAATATCAACAACACATTTCTTTTATCAAAAGGAAATTGGAAGATTATTTAGAGATGTCTTGTAGGGGAAACAGAGTAAATAAAATGGGGGGCGAAGAGAGGACATTGTTGGCTATTAGATAATGATAGAATTCATATTTTATTTGGATTTATCCTTTTTTATAGTAAAAGATGATGGAGTTTGATTCAACTGGTCTTGCTGAATGTCTTAAAAATTTGCAATATGTGTATAAGGATTTTGAAAATGGGGATATTTCAATAAAACCAAAAGTGTGTACTAACTACTACTCCCTCCGTCCCAAAATGATAATCCTGTATTTCCTTTTTGGGATGTCCCAAAATGATGGTCATGTTTCCCTTTTTGGAAAGAAAGATGTGATCCATATCATTTCACTTTATTATACTCAAATCTCAACCAGAACTTTTGCCTTTTCAACCACTTTATTAAAACTTGTGCCCAAAAGAAATGAGACTATCAAATTGGGACGGAGGGAGTAATATTATGTTTAAGTTTTCTAAAAGTCATTCTCATAGTGTTTCTTAAGGCTGTTGGGTTATGATGTTTTCGCAACAAACGGGAAAATAAGTATTGGCCCCTAACCATTAGGTGGTGCATTTTGATATTACAACGATGCTATGCTTGTAGAGTACTATACACATTTCATGCTTGTGAATATGTATTATTCTAATACTGTATTTACTTATTTTTTTTTCTATCTTATTCAACTGCTACATGCAATTAAAGTTTTTATTTTTTATTTTGTTTATTTTTTCTCCAGAGCTATCCCATGTCTTCTCAAAGGTTAGGAGAGATCTGAATTTTATTGATCACTCCTGTGATCTTGGATGGAAAATGTTGAGGCGTAAAAATTTTGAGCGTTGTATATTTATGCTGGACAAATTTTATGTGGGTGTGTAGGGATCAAAGAATTCGCCCAATAGTAGTCAGTCCTGGGATTTACTTGGCTAGGAGGACCCAAATCTTTTATGCAGCTGAAAAGCGACCAATGCCTGATTCATTTACAGTTTTCACAGGTAATCACATTGTTTCTTCTCTTGATTTGTTCCTTCCTTATACTACTACCATAGTCAGTAGTCACAATGCTTTTTGTGTGGAATGTATTTCACTTTAGATCTTTTTGTCACTTCTAGTCCTTGCCACTTTCCTGGTAAAAATCAACTGCAAATTTACCGAATAAAGTGGCCGAAAAGATTTTAATTGACAAAAACCTACGATTGTCACATCAAAAATAGAAAATGAATGTTAAGGACTACAAAAAGGAAGAACATAATAGTCATGAAACCAAAAGTGGAATATTTCTTTTGTTTGAATGCAACTATGTTCTAAGATATCCCCTACACACAAAAGGATTTAGGTCCTCTAGCGTCCTTATGGCTTTTCATGAATTTATGCCATCTTATCTCTGCTATGCTTCTCCTGACCTCACCCTGGTCCTGTCTAGGCACTGGGCCTCAGTCATTCAGCACCCAGTTTTTAGTATAGAAAACAGGTATATGTTGAAATGAAACTTAGACGGTTAGGGGTTGGTTCCAGAACAAGTCAGTTATGTGCACGGAGAAGGAACTGAAAAAAGGACTTTGTACTAAAATAGGTCCGAATGGGGGTACAATTCAGGAACCTCCAAAATACGGAGTAGGACCAGACGTGTTCCGGTTTTGTAGCTCTTTTTAAGGCTACGAAACATGTCAGGTACCGAACTAGAACCAGAATGAATATACCTAGCTCGATTCCTGTTCCGGTTCTGTCCTTTGAAGGAGTCAGGACCAGACCAGGTCCACTCCATGAATAGAACTTGTGGAAATGTTTTCCCTGAGCATAAGTTATTCTATGCACAAGAAAATAACTTCCCGTTTCAAAATGGGAAGTAATTTACTACAAATTCTAAAGAATTAAGGGGAGATGTTTGGTGGTGCGAAAACAGCAAAATACAAAACATTTCCCAACAAATGTTTTTGTGCTGAGCACAAGAAAACCTGAAATCAATTCCCATTCAAATGAATGTTTTCTTGTAAACAAACAAAGTGTTATTTATGATTGATGTGATTGTCCATGAGATTGTTTGTATTAGAATGGTGGAGACTAGTAGGCTGGTTTTTTTATGACTCTCTAAAGTGAAGTAACTGATGCAACAACTAGTCTCCAGTTACACGTGTTTAATGTTCTCTGCAAACCAGTAACATTTTCGATTTTCCTTTATGCTTTGCTGGTAGAATCCATTGATGCTTGTAACTAGGTCTGCCACAAGGTCCCAAAAAAAGTATTGATGTTTTTATTGCAAGAATGATGTGAAAAGAATTTAAGTCATGTTCATTTGTGAATATGCATATAATAATCATAAGTATGGTAAATATATATGCACACAGTGATTGTCTGCTTGAATGAACTCTGGCAGATTGGGCTAGTATTTTATCCCTGCTCATTTCTGGTTCTGGATTCTCCAATATGGAATTTTTATTTGGACTTGACATGCTTCGTAAACATCATGTAACTACTACTCTCTCCTATTTGTGTGAAATATTATATTGGTTTACTGATTCAATGAAGATTAAATTAATTGAACATCATTAAAGTGCGTGATTGATCTGAAAGACAATGTCCTTTGAGTGGGTGGAGGGGAAGTCGCAACACCATTTCTATCTGGAGGAGCACTGGGCGGTGATTGTAGGGCCAGTCTGGCTGGTACAACCTCTTATATATTGAAAATGTGTATTCGTTTTCAAGTTTAGATGGTTCAAGTGCAACTGTGGAGTTGACTGGGTATTGCAGGTATGTTGGTGCTCCTATTGGAGATATGATCTTCTTGGCCTACGTGATGGTAAGAATGATAACTTCATGGTCAAATAACCCATTTTTTTAATGTTTGCAATTAATGTTTGCTTCTTCGAGTCGATGGTCATACAACAGGGAAGACAAATCCACAAGCTCCTCCTCCAAGCTATCCAAGTATTTCTCTACTCGTTCAACTAACACATGTGGGAATGGTTTGGTCAAATAACACATTTTAGTATCTTTTTGTTAAATACCTCTTAGTCTCTTGGATTGGTAGCTTCTGCCTATGCAAAAGGATGAATGGACCTTTCCCCATAAGATCATTAATCACTCTGTACACTCTTTTTTACAAGGCAGATTTAGTTGCTCCAAAATATGATCTTTTTTAATACTTCTCCAATCATGCATTTTTTATTGTTATCAAAGGTGACAAGTTGATGAGAATGGGGAAAAGGGAGCATGTGTTGTTGATTACTTCCATAAGAATGCCATTGTCTAGCTATAATTGTAACTTGTGTTTTGTTTTTTGAGTTGTACTTAATTACATTTATGATTTCTGAGTATGCCCCTATGAATCATGTACATTCATATGAAATCTTGAGATATAAATAAAAGGTTTGAGATTTTGGTTAATGTTAATGTTTTGGTTTATTTGTATTAATATATCTTAACCTATCTTATAAAGGATGGTTTTTCATATTAAATGTTCTTTCATGCTTTATCATATTGTACACTCTGTTAATGGGGTACGGAGTATTTCACTTGAGTTGCCGTTCAATTGAGTTGTACCATTAGGGTGTTATAGTTTCCGCAACGGCGTTCTACCAGACGTAAGATACACCCGAAAAAATTAATACACATCAACACACTTCCAAACTCAATGCTTCTTCGTTTAAACGTCGCTGAAACTGATAGATATATGGATTTGACTGTCCATAATTAATTAATAAGGTGACTTCTTGATTTCTCGTTGTCCGAATTACATACATTTAGATGTTAAAATCCTTTGTATATAGCTTGAGAAGACAAGATGCTGAATTCCAACATTTAAAATCCTTCGTGTAAGTCGTTCCTTCTCATACAGCGTGAGATTTCCGCCATTTAATATTAGGCTTTCCTCATGGTCTATTGTTTAAGGTAATTTTATCATGTCTTTCTATAAGTTGATAATGATTAAATGATGAATTCATTCAACTTGATGTAAATATTTGTTGGCAGATGGATTGAACACTTTTTAGCCTAGGGAACTTCATGTCATCAATAAAAAGCAAATAGAGGCTTTTTAAAACAAAACCAAACCCACTACATGTTTGTTTATATGTCTAATAGAATAGTTCTGCTACACGTGAGATCTGAGACCAAATAGTTTGAAGGATTGAATAGTTTTCTCATGAACTGGGACTCTGGGAGCGTATATGTCTTATTTAAAGTGGGGCAGGAACGGTAGTATAATTAGTAGAGACTGAACTTCCAAGATTTTTTATGTATTTGCTGATCTATTGTGTATGAATTGTATTATGCTCATTTTAAATCAAAAGTGCATTTGCAAAGACTAAAAAGCAACATTAATCTCCAAAACAAAACCATAGAGATTCTGCAATTTTAAGTAAAAGGCTAAATATGAGCTCTAAATAATATAAGGTTGCTTCTTGTTCAACTGTCAAATATACATTTTGTTCTCAAAATAACCGTATATTTAAAAACCCAATAAAATAAAAATTATGTAGAGTTTTTGGTTTAGACATGTAAGGTTGCTTCATTTAAGTTACTAGAGCTTATTACAGTAACTTGTATTTTTATATACAAGTCATTCTAAAAGCATAAAAACCTTCCAGGTTTTTTTGCATTATTCGGTCCAAATTCACATGTTCAACCATATATTATGGTTTTTCTGCCTTTTTGGTTGCACTTCTTATATTATTAAGACATCAATTGATTAAATAGTCTCCACAAGTTCATATGAAAGGAAATAAAAAACACACTGGGTGTTTGATAATATCATTAACATGCCAAGGTTACTTAATTGTGATTGCCTTTATGTGCAGTTTTTTAGAAATCACACATCATTTTTTCACTTCTCTGACAAATAGTTTTTTGTTGAGGCTTAAAATGGTCTGTGTTGTTTTCAATTACATGTTTTCAACTCCTGAGATATATTCAAACAACAATTCTTTAGTGCCCTTTATAGAGTTTAAGTGGGAAGATAAATTAGCTAACCTGAATTATACAAAGTATATACTTATTCATTTAGGAATAAAATAATTTGTATTCCCTTTGTAGAGTTAGGTGGGGGAACGAAATAGCTGATATGAACCAGAAAAAGTATGTAATTGAATGTTATACGTGGTATACTATAATAAACAAACAAATGTTAATACTCTGTATATATAAATGTTAGTCCGTTTAGTTTTCGTTTTACACTTTCACTTTAACATATTACCTTCTAATGTTTGATACTCCAGTATTAATTAGAGAAAGTACTGCAAACCCTTAATTCACAAGTTACATATGATATATTTTAAATATAATAAAGCATATTACTTGATTGATATTGTTAGATAGATCATCTTGCATGCATGTTCTGGAATTTAATTGCACTACTTCATATTTTGGTTTTTGATATCATACCAATTTCCGCTTTGCCGCCATATTCTGTTCACTATCTCCTCCATTATTCTCATGTTCACATTACTTAATCATTGTTCATAGTGTTTTATTGTAACACCAACTAATTCAACTGAATCTCATTTTTATGAAATCAGTATCGCATATTGTATAACTCCTAAAATAAACATTATGTTGAAAATATATTTCAAAAATTCATAAAAAAATGAGTGTTGGGCATATGACATTCGCGCAACGCACGATCAATTTACTAGTATACTAATATAAAATATATATATAAAAATATATATGCTAATGAATCATATACATCGACACTTTTTAGTGTCACAGAAACTTTTGGTGACACTAATTTGGTGTCACTGTAAGGCTTTTTTCTAGTAGTCTATGTATATATCACTAAAAAATATGATGCATTGGTATCACAAAAATCCTTGTTACATATATAACACAGTTCTTTATGATATTTATATATCATAATTTTGTGACACAAAAGTGACTTGTTAACGGTGACACTAAATTTAGCGTCACTAGCCCCGCTTTTCTGTGACACTTTCAGAGTGTCACTAAATCGTTTAGTGACACTAATTTAATGTCACTATAAGTCATTTTTTACTAGTCTTCCAAACCCTCGTCGCACAATTCCTCCGTGGCGGCGGTTCGGGAGGGGGGCGAAACAACACCTCTTCGTCTTCTTTCACCCGCACGAGCCCGCCACTCGAGCCCTCAGTGTCAATCCCAAACGTATCCTAGAAACCTTGAAGACGCATCAGCTCCTTCGCTCTCAAGCAACGCACCTTGGTTCCATCAAGAACACAATCGAAGCCGCCGATCTAGCCGCAGAAATCCCCTCCGGACAAGCAGCGCCGCTGGAACAAACACCTAGGAGGACCCTAGAGACGACCAAATTTCACCCTCGAGATTGCTGCTCTGCTCACCGCCTGCGCCTGCAACGTCCGCCGCCTGCAACGCCCACCGTTGAGCGGCCTACGTCGTTCACACGCCTGCGCCGTTCGCCTCTTAGGGTTTCACGAAACTTCTATAGTTGTAGAACGTATATGGAGCCACGCACTAAAATTAAAAAGCATATCCCACGTAAATAATACATTGAAACTGTATTATTATTGTTTCTTAAGTATTACCTACGTAAATTTAAATATAATGTTATGAATAGACATTTTGGGACTGAAGAAGTGAAGTTTAGGATAAATGACACTCTCCAAGTCCTAATGTAAGCACTTAAAAAACTAATGAACTAATGAAGTGTTTTCCCATTAGAGCATCGACATTGCTAGTCACGGATTTTATCCAAACCTTCTTCCTCTAAAAGACTACAAAAGAGAAGTTACCCAACATAGGCAAGCCCCATCTTGGACACCCTCTACATCTTCAATTAGGGGTCCAATTAAAAAGACCCACACCTGATGGTTTTACAAATTTTTATTATTTTTTATTATTTTATTATGAATTAAAACATTTCAATAGCTATAACGGTATATTTGTTTAAGACACACATAATTAGTCATATGAAAGCATAGTTTATTTTGTGGTCCTATTTGTACAAAGTGAGTGACTTTTAGTCCTATTTTGATAATTAACTCTATTATTATTCATAGCAGTGCACAATTTTGAGTTACATAATGCAGAATTCTCAAATGTGAGACATCAAACTTATTCTCATTTCTTTGATGGATGAGATGATATTTCCATTTAATATATGTACGTTTAATATAAACAATACAAATAGGTAAACACGAAAGCACCTCTCTATAAAATGCTCCATAATCTACTCTAATTTGGAATGATCAAAAATATCAGTTCACACTACAATTTTTTTTTACTAATAGAATTAAGATATAACTACGATCAAAGACGTGTGTTGACAAATGTGAAATCTTGACCGTTGCAACTAAAAAAGAACAGAGGGAGTAGGCCGTGTATAGCCTTAACTTTTTCGCGTTTTACTACTTTGAATGTATGGATTACACATAGAGCAGCACTAATTGAATTAAAGTTCATAAAAGTGGCATTATATTATCTTTTATGAAGTTATAATAATAGTCGGAAGGTAATACAAGATATGATCTTTTATGAATTAGGAATGACCGATCGATTTGGTTCCATTTTTCTAGCATAATTTTTGTGTGCATAATATTATTATACTCAGTACAATAATATTGTTACTACCCCGTAATAATTTGGAATTCTTCTCGTACATGAGTTGATTGAGTCACCGTGACTTACAAGCTTCCGAATTCTTTATTGGGACGGGGTGTGTGGGCCTTAAGGTTGGGAATTCAACCTTTTGGAATATGGAAATCTTCTCGTACATAATAGAGAACGCTCCTCTGGGAAGCCTAGTAACTGCCATGATGTGAGAAAGCGTTGCAAAAGAACGAATTTGGATCCTCTCCGGTAAGTAGAGAGTTCCAGTGGGAAAGAGATAGAGAGGAGGGGATTTTAGGTGGGGTATATGGATGAGTAAGATAAAGAAAAAGGTAGAGAGATAGGAGTAAACAAAGAAATGGATGGGAAATGGAGAAGAAAAAATGGAGAGGAGCCGAAACAGCAAAAGAACATGCTACATAAGGATTACTTTATCACATTGGGATAGTAGGTTTAGGTTTTTGGCTGACTTGATATCAAACTTTTGAATGATGTCTTTGGAATGTATGGTCTTTGTCATCCCTTGGTGTAACGGAAAGTTTGCCACATTCAGGATCGGTACAGTATATTTGAAGGTCGGGGGAGAATTAAAATGGGCATAATCTTATAAAAATTTGTAAAACCCTTTTCTGTTTAAACTAACAGAAAAACAATAAGTACTTAATAAACTTATGTTACTTTACGAGATCGGTGCATTTATTAATAAATGATTTAACATTAATTTAAAATGTCAATTACTTTGTATAACTTTCAAGGCTACTTACTCCTTCATTATTACCACTTTCACCCTTACCCGTACTCCACCACTCTGCCCTACCTTACCCCCACACTCCCGACCATATCCCACCCACAGTGGTTGGGGTGTTGTGGGTAAGGGGTGGTAGGTGGGGGCAGAGGCAGTCGGGTAGGTGGAGTGGGTGCATGGTGAGATTAGAGATAGGGTGTAGGGGATTGTTGGGGTAGGGCACATACGATCGGGGGTAGAGATAGGAATAGGGGTATGCGTCATGGTAGAGGTAGTATGTGGTGGGGGTTAGATAGGAATAGGGGTGTATATATGATAGGTTAGAGTAGTGCTAGGAATAGGGGTCAGAGGTAGGGTAGGGGTAAGGGTGATCAAATGATGTTTGGGATGTACTGATGAGTATACTTATCAATATAAAAAGTTAAGTAAAACATGAATAATGAGATGCTGTTTAAGCAACACTTTGATATAAAAGGTGTTTAAGTAGACATTTATCATAACAATTATTTACCTCACATGCTAATTGTG